TCCTCCTCCTCCTCATCCGCTACCCCAACGACTGCCGTTGTGGTGCCTGGCATGCACACCGACACTATTCGCAATCTTGACACACCAACAAACACCAAGACCGCCACCGTCGACAACAGAGGTGAGGACAAGGACTAAACCGATGCTCACTGCGATCTCACCTTTACGTCACACATCGGCCTAGTCGGTCACTTGCGAATCCATCGTATAGAGACTGACGAACTAGTGCCTGGAACACCAACCTACACCCGCCGCATCCGCCTCCACTGCTCATACTGCCCTCGCACATTCACGCACTGCATGGGCCTATTCGGCCACATGCGTATCCACGAGAGAGTAATTGACCGCAGACCCGACGCCCCCACGGCATCCAGCACACCCATTATGCTAGCCCCTCCCTTACTCCGTCGCCCTGTGCGCCCACCACTAGCAACAACATCTCCGTAACTGACATCGACACCACCGACTTCTCATGCCCACACCGTCCGCGCACATTCACCTCATGCATAGGCCTGGTCGGTCATTTGCGAATCCATCGCACAGAGACTGGCGAACCAGTGCCTGAAGCACCCACAAACACCCGCAGAACGCGCCTCCACTGCTCATACTGTCCTCGCACATTCACGCACCGCATGGGCCTATTCGGCCGCATGCACATCCAGGAAAACCTGCGGTAAACAACCGCCGGCTGCACCACATCACGACATTCTCCCTCACCCGTGTCTCACCGCGCATCAACACTACCCACCGCAAGCACCCAACTGCCACCTCCCACGCAAATGGGAAGTGTGCGTCTGGACTTGATCTCCATGCGGCTCCTGTTACGTGGGTAACTTGAGCCTAAGACTATCACGAGGCGTCAAGCTCCGCGGATTGGACGGCTACTGATTGAAGCCCCAACTCGGTCCACGCAGTTCGTCCAGTTGTGCGTGGTTGTGCGGAGTTGTTGACTGGTGGACTGGGGGCCGGGCCGGAACAGCTCCTTCCACGTCACTCACACGCATGCGAGAGATACGCCATTCAACTCCCGTTGTGTGAAATCCTGGTGCTTGTGTTTGGGGGGGGGGCAGGTCGCGCATGTGACGCGCGGAGACAAGGTCACTAAATCATGTCAGCCACCGCGCCCATTTCCCAATCCAGTCAACTGACTGGCTCGGACAGGGGCTGAGTTGTGGGAATGGGAAGGGAGAGTGAGTTCGACGACTCAGCGCATATTCCTCACTATAAAAATCGAACACACTTAAAACTATCACAATGCGCCAAAAGCCGTGGCTTGCAAGGTTGCCAACTGACGGGACAACTTGGACCTCGCGGTCCGCCCAGTGCTGTGTGTGCTGCAGTTGTGGAGTGGTCGGCTGGTGGTCTGAGAGTCAGACTGCCATGGCTCCTTCTTAATGTGGTCCCTCCTGCCTAGTGGAATCCGAGCAGCTCCCATCTACTTCTCTTGTTGAGCTAATTCCTGGTCTGTGAGCGCTGTGCACCAGGCTGTGTAGTGGTTCGCCGAGGTTCATGTTTACGCCGTGCCAGCCACCTGCACCTCGTGCCGCCTCCGGTCTTCTTGACTCTGTCTTGACACCGGACCCAGGTGGGGGAGGAGGATAGAATGTGGTAGATGCAGCACGAGTCTATTATCACTTTAAACTAAATCACAGTCATGTCACCGTCCCTGATTTCACTCTGCTATGGAGTATGCTGTGGAAAGTGTAGTTCATGACGATTGAACATGGCGCTAAGACGTTCCAGTATCTCAGAATTTTCTGTCAGCAGCTCTCAACAACGAAAATAGAGGTTGGTACGTAACTGCGCCACGAAATATGTATAACGGGCGTCAACATCTGATCAATTTTTTATAAATTTTAACGTGTAGCATATCGCATAAACATAAGTCCCCCTAGGAAAAATACAGGGAAAATTATTTTGTTTGTCTAATGGACAGAGTCTGCCAACCGTGTATATTTTTAAGAACGCCCATCCCACAGATCGAGTCTTCGCAGCCGCGAAGCCCATCACTACCTCGTGAAACGGGAGAAGTCGTAACTTATGCATGAAGCAGATTTTCGTTGCAGGTACCTCACTCATAATGCCCTTAATCACCGCGTTCAGATGGCGAGGCAAGGTCAGGACGACTGGGAAGGGGGAGTGGACTGACAGTCCCTCCACGTGTGTCATAAACGACCTTGTTCCCAAGGTCACATGTGCCAGGTTTTGTTGATGACGCGCCTTGGATTCTACACAAGCAGAAATGTCCTCCGAATCTGAAGGGGAACTGGCGCAGCGGAAAGCCGAAATCTACAGCATGCCACACACAGAACTGGTCAATCTACTGAGCAAATCCTATTTTTTCGCGCTAAATTTTAGCTTTCCGTAGTTCCTACTATCAGAATCACCAAACGAATCTAACACGGTTCAAGCAAATTCTTTGGAGTGGGCCTGTTGGTCGACAGTTTTTCAGTTCTTTGGTTCCGATCATCAGCGACAGGGTGACTGTTTACAACTGATCGACTTTCTCCCACCCCCATTCAGCCGCAAGTTTAACTAGGCACCTCGATCGTCGTCCGTGTCGCGTCTGAGAATTCGGCCTTGCAGGAAGTTCTCGAAGGGTTGTGCTCTCTCGGCTCACTACTAGGCCAAATTCCAAGGGCTGATAAGAATGCAGGACGCCAAGAATAGTCTTTGATTCCACAGTGGTTTGGGTTTTCCCTTCAAATAACTTCGGGAGAGGAAATGCAAGTGGAATTAATCTTTTAAAATCCTTCAGCAATCACATTTTGTTAAAGAACTACTCCTGATGGGATAATAAGTCTCGAAGATCGAAGGCGAGTCATTCTCCTAAGTCATCAGAAGTGTCGTGGGGGTCGAACCTACTGATTATGCCATCCTGCCCCACTAGTAGTAGTCGTCGTCCTCCTCCTCCTCCTCCTCCTCCGCCACTTTTCTATGTTTCCTGGCCTGATGATGTGATTTGCCCGTGATGACATGCCGCATACGATCAAACAAATTGCCATCCCTGTTTATTCGGACAACAATTTCTTTTTCCCTCTGCACGACAATGTGGGAACGTATACGGGATCTGCCATCGTGTGACCTCGGGGCAACATCCGATGGCTGCCGTTGTCACAACTTCTATGGAGGATGACTGAGACAAGGCGATACAGGTTCTGCTGTCTGCCGATAAACTGGGCCACCGTTGCGCCATGAGTCTACGTCAGGTTGCGACTGTCACATTTTCGACGGCCCCATGCGGTCATAACGACCGGAGTTGGTGACTGAGGGTCTACGAGCCTCAAATACACTGCCGTCAGCAGAGGTCCTTGTCTCACATCGTTTGAGTCACAAAGCAATTTTTATTGGATTTTTTGGCCAACACCATTGAAGCCTTTTACTGCATCCTCTTTATCGCGCAGAATTTCTTTTACAGAAGATGTAGAAAATCTAACACGAAGAACCTGTTTCCATTCAGCCTCGCCAGAGGCTTGTGCTGATCGTTGTTAATGGTGGAAACGAATGTGCCACTTTGTGAGCCTATGGGATGTGAATCAGGGCAGGGCTTCCCTAAGAGCTACAGCATGGAAGAAATCACTGAAACCATACTAGTATTCAATTTCAATAGTACGATTTTCATCCCCCCGACCTCCCGCAGAGAAGTGCATCCAGTTTTCGCAGCATTTCCTGACACCGAAGGACCAGTGAAGTAACGATATTATTCGCAACTAGTTATGCTTATTTCTATGCAGCCGTGCCATTCGGTCGACAACATGAGTTCAGGCATGACGCTAATGCTAACATCGAAGAAGTTGGGGTCGGTAGACTTGCATTTTCGATTACTTAACATCATTACTTAAGCGTCTGTTGAAAGCAATAGACACATATAGGCTGAAAATTATTGTCGGAAGGCGGAATCGAAAGTTTCACCTGCATACTTTCCATTTCACATGAAAATGGCATTAAATGGCTGCGCAAACTGCATAAACGCTTGTTCAACACAGTTGTGCTCCGGGCAGCAACAGGTTCGATGTGCACTTCAGGAATGTAAGTTTCGCAACTAATTCTGGCAGTTACAAAATCTCACCTAGATAGCCCCGTTGAAGTCAGGATGGTCAGCAGTTCTTTTCTGTTTTGCGAGACACCATTCCTGGATGCTCGATTTTATGGCCTCTCCATAGGCTGCACGTAAGTCTTATTCAACCTTTGGCTTGTGCAAACTAGCGGCTACCGCGCGTTTCTGTTTTGGCACACAAATATCGAATGGCTGCCAACGCCCTCGAGAAACAGCATTCGCACAACGGGCCTTTGCTGCGTCTGGAGGGCTTAGAGCTCTGCACACGGTAATTACGCGTGCTACCCTGTGCTTAAAAATGCAACCACGTTTACCCTATCTTTGAGCAGTATTGTTTTTATACATTTGATATGTCAAGTTGGTACTAATGTAATGTCCGTCCTGTATAGCCAACAGCCAAATTATCCTCGATTTTATCTCCTCTTGAGCTCTTTTTGTCAACCCATGTCCGATCTGGAAGCCGTTTTGGCATTCTTTAAAAGGGATTGAATTCTGACCGTTGTTACCGTTGCATAGTCCTTGAAAAATACCCATGACGAAAAGAGAACACATTGAACGCGCTAATTCGCGCTCAAGTCCGACGACAGAACCCCGAGCCACTAAAACTAGAATCACGTCTCAGGTTTGTTCGATCCTGTAGATAATGCCTTCACGTGTCTAGACGCCACTGTGGCGACTACCTGGGGATCCAGTCATATTTCAGGCCCATTAGGTTCTGCTACATGCCTTATTATTATCTAGAGAAAGTCACGCATTGTACCGGTAGACACAATCGAAATGGCTATTTCCTGAGAGCAGATGCTGCATGTCATCCCCGTTCTAGGTGAATCGGTTCTGATTTAATGGCACATGGGTCCAAGTTTCCGAAAGGTGATTGGTGTGATAGCGCTCTGGAGAGGGTGGTTCTTTTGTGATTGCTGTTTCTGTTTGGTCGAGAAACACATTGGCAAGTTTGTTGCCTGTCTGACAGCACGTTGTTGTCAGGGTCCTGCCTCGTTAACTAACATACAGAACTTTAAAAACAGAAGCGAAGAGACTAGTCCCAGGAAGTAGTCTTGAAGGAGGAGACACAATCGCTGGGACAAGAGCTTTATTAGCCTGACGTTTCGGATTCCTGCTCGAACCCATCATCAGAGACAAAAGCAGAAACGGGTGGTTGATGCACAAGGGGCTGCGGTATTTATAGGATGCATTAGCCATGATACCTCATCTCTATGAAGCGGGGAGCCGTGAATGTTCATAGGTATGCGGTCGCATGGCTACTGCATCCTATAAATACCGCAGCCTCTTGTGCATCAACCACCCGTTTCTGCTTTTGTCTCTGATGATGGGTTCGAGCAGGAATCCCAACCGTCAGGTTAATAAAGCTCTTGTCCCAGCGATCGTGTCTCCTTCTTCAAAACAGAACTTTGTAGATTACTCTTCGGCGTTGTTCATATGTTCGAGATCGATAGAAGGTGGCTGGTCATCTATAAGGCACTGCACAGTGTCTTCCTCAAGCGAATGTCCTGGCTCCTCCTCCTCCTCCTCCTCCTCCTCCTCCTCTTCCTTCTCCTCACGAGCCCCTGGTACAGTAGTTACCAAAGGAGTGAGTCCCGACGCCCATATGCTGTTTTCTTGGAAATGAAAGGTGAGAGACTGTTCGGCTTAAGGATAATATAATTCGAAGGGTTACTCAGTAGAAGTTGTGGTGGTCATTACTGTGTGGAATACGTAATTGCATAATCAGGGTCAAGTCACCTACTGTAGTAGGGAAGGAAAAACGCAAGAGCAAAGTTTACTCTGCAAAAACGGTCAAGGCGCTATCTCGGCAGACGTTAGACACTAGCGGGGCCACCGTGTGTGTGCTCGCAAATTCACGGCGTAAACTATGTTCAATCCGCTCAATAGGGCTGCCGTTGGAAGTTCGGAAAATTGATAATACAAGTGGCTTACTCTTGAATGCACGCAGTTACTTTAGCCATGACGACAATACTCAATAGGCGACGATCGGGGTCCCAGCCATTACAGGAGCGGTCGGCATGAGTAGCGTGTCGAGGTTTCCTACTGCAGTTGGGCCGTTAGCAAAGACTGAAGGTTAACGAAATCTTTGAAACATCTATTAGTGAATAGGTGAGTTTTTCGACTTCACAGCTGACTGGAAGGACGCGAGGCGGGGCAGACAAAAAGGATAAACTGTTTCTGTTCTACAATCAGGTCATTCGACGAACATCACACGCACCCGACCAAGAGTTTTTTTAATTTGCAACAGATAAAGAGCAAGCCTTCGGCTTAACTAGTATTTCGTCCGTGTAAGGAAAAACCAGACTGATCCAGCGGCGAACTAGTTTTTTTTATTTGTCTGAGCTCCCAAACTCGTGTAGGAGTCCATTGTCGGGGATGACAACAGTAACAGAACTGGCGACAGTTATAGGGGATAGCAGTCGGTTAAGGATCTCGAGTTCTGTCCTCGCACATATTGTCGATACGAATCACCGAGTCGATGCCAAAGAAGCCTTTCAGCTTGTCTATCGGTCACCAGCAAGCTTCTCCAAAGGCCTACGCCAACGGGTACTAGCTACAGCCGAGGCAGTGGCTATACGGCTAGCCAATTCAGTGCCATGCTGTCAGAGAACTCCGACACAGGCGCTCTGTCTTTCGCGGCAAACGCCGACCCCAACGTCTCCTCAACCTCCTGATGGCAGTGGTGCGTGCACAACGTACCGGACGTACAAACATTACTCACAGCCTATGTCCCCCCCTTCCCCTCGTCCCTTGACCCAATGACCACGACACGCCGACCACGCCATAGCACGCCTCGTCATGCGAGTGGCGTGGGAACGGTGATTGACGTGGGAACGATGGGTGTTAGTAGCCCCTGAATCACCTATAAGCCCTGTAACCTTGCATAATTTCAACTTCTATGTAACCTTTTTGGCCTGATGACGAGTTAACGAAAAAACGTGTTTGCCAAATTGAATTTTCCATTGTAACACGGAAATATTCGCTGAACTTGGAGTTAAGGATCAATGAAACAGTTCTGAAGGTGACGGCTCAGAAATCTGTACGCCGGAGCCTGATCGGTACACTGATTGATTTCTCATCCAAAACCCAGGTTTCAATAAATTCTTGGCCTGTGTTGCTTTCGGCGTGGATGACTTTCATGGCGACTGCGAAGTCGAACTCAGTCAATCGATTTACCGATCTGGCTCCGGCGTGCAGATTTCTGCGTGGTCACCTTCAGACCCACCTCATTGATCCTTAATTGGCTACTATCCCCTTTAACTGTCACTTGCTCTGTGACTATCGCCATCTCTGGCTATGAACTCCTACGCGAGTTTGAGAGCTTGGACAAATAAACAAACTATTCCGGCACCGAATCAATCATTTTCGTCCCTACTCATACAGATATCTGGAATTCGAATAGGAATCGCCATAATTTCTTCTGTTGCATTTCATTGTTATAACAGGTGAGTAATTTAAATCCAAATGTGAACAAATGTGAACTTAGTATCTCAAGAGGTAGGGCATTTTGTTTTATTTAAATCTTGGTATTTCAGCTGAGGGTTCAAATCTTGCCGCTGCTCGGGGACTTTCACACGCGAAACGCTGGGGACCTAGTGATGAGCCGATTCCCTCTCAGCTATGTTATGCAGCTGCAGACTATCAGTGGAACGCGGCTGGGCCTTTATTCAGTATTTGTGCAGTTAAGTATGGTATATCGTACAACCTGTGTATATACCACTGGCCGCCCCTTGACAATTTATGAATATTACGCGGTTATTCCGCTGTGGCTGATGGACTTCCGTCTATATCTTCATATCAAATTTCAGTCCGAGCCTATAAGTCTCAAGTAGACTGATTTACTCCAAGTTGGCGATTAATTTCTGATGAAATTAAAAAGCTGCCAAGCCAGTTGGATTTAGAACATTTGTTTTATTGGACATTCAGATGGCTCTGTATAGGTTCGAGTGGCGGGCGGGTGTGTATCGCTTACCACTATCTTCATGCCGGCACCCTAGCAACAGAAGGCGTAATACACCGGAATAATGGGTTTATTGTATACAGAACACGGAGTTGCCGTCTGCGATAACATTAGGTGCTGGCGAGGCCAGGCTAGTGGTGTCAAATCATGTCGGAGAGAGAGAGAGAGAGGTCAAGATGCCGACTGCTTTTATATGTCGGAGCACTGTCGAGACTGCTCGTGTCTAGTGACGTAAACTGTCCCACCCGAGGTGTGCTGCGTCTAGTGATTTGTGTTGCATTAACAGATGGGTGGCATGTACAAGTGGGGCGTGGACGGCTGTGACTGCCTGGAGACACGCGTGCACGAGCTTACGTAGGTTGATTGACTGCCGGTCAGTGCATGTTGGAAAAGATGCAGGTGTTTTCCGGCGAGAGCTCTTGCGATATAATTGGGTGGCCCTGAATCATTTTGGTTCCGATGCGGATTGAGGAATCGGTACACTGATGGAGGTTGGTTCCAGCCACCAGCAAGTTGAGTAGCGTCACTGAAGCCCTAAAAATCGGCCTGTTCCTGTGGTTTGGCTGTTAGAAGCCTCGTCTGAATAGGTTTGCGCTTCCCCTTCATTCCACGAGTCAGTTGTCTTTACCTTTTTGTTCCTTGCTTCTCTTTCAATTGCTCAACTTTTTGTTGATTGTTGTAGCAGCAGTAGTGTCCGAGACTTTCGGTGACACTGTAGTTTAAAGTCTAGTCAGGTGTTACGACTTCTAGCCCTCTGGGCTGCGACCTCGGCTCAATCGTTTGGTGTCTTCCCGTCGTCTGCTCATTGAAAGGAATTTTACAGTGTTATTTTAGCCTATCACAGGTGCTCTGATAGCATATAAGACGGTGTGTATTCGTGTGGGTGGTTGCTAGGTGCCCTCCAAACGAGCCACGTTTAGGATGCGCTGGACCAACACGGGGGCCACATCGGATCCTGGCTGGCGTTATCTGTGCGCAATAACAAATGCCAACATCTGTGGGATGCGCTTGCAGACCCAGTTGTCGGCATTCGCCGATTAACTGAGACCACTGCCATCACCCCATTGTTGTGGCGGTCAAAATCCTGGTCATTGTTATGCGGACGAGGGGGTGCGGAGTGGAGCGCCAAGGGGCGGATCCATCCGAGCCATCCACCGGCGGCCTCCTCCGTCTCGGGTCTTCTAGACTCTGTCTTGACACAGTCTCAGGCGGGGGAGGAGGAGAGAGTGTAGGTAGATGCAGCGCAAGTCTACTGGCACTATACACCCCTGCGCAAGTCACCGTCCCTGCTCCCACCGCTGCCGCTGTGGGGGACACGGTGGACATAGTCGAAATCGACGGTCGAACTATCTGGTGGTTGCTAAATATTGTAGGCTGAATGCCCAGCTCCTAACAGTGCACACTGCATACCTAGAGCCCAAAATTCAAAATGGACTTTGAAAAAAGGCTTCACTATATGTTAGGAAGCTGCTGACAGGCCTCTCTCGGATAAGCATCATTCTCAAGCAGTCTTTGAGGCGGTATGTAGTCCGTGGAAAACGGACAACCAGCAAGCTTTACCATTACTGGCTACTGCAAGCATTCCACATGTGGCCGCAGTGCTTGACGTGGAGGCGCGGTGACGATATCACGCGGGGCTAATTCATGGTGCTGGGAACGTGTAGCATGTGGCTGCTCGAATCAGTACTTATTTAATGCTGTCCAAATCCAGTGAGAAGAGCTCACAGTTATTATGTCAAGCTTCGTCGTTTGAAGGAGTATCTTCAAAATAGTGACCCATGTCCGCCCACTGTGACGTTTCGTGCAACGGCAGTGATCAGTGTTCAGTGACTGGAAGACTCAGAATAAACCTTACTTAACCGGGCTCATGGTGGAAAAGCGCATACACCACTCGAAACAGACTCCGGATCGCCGGTGTTTTGGTCTTATGCTTTAAAAACTCCCCCGGGTTTTATCCACCCTTATGGCCAACTGAATCTTGTGGCGTTTAAGCAGTGAGTCTGCTCAGAGCGGCACAATAATCACGACCCAATCCCGTTTTAAATAAAAAGCCGAAAGACACCAATAGAAGTGAATTCCGCACAGAAACTCGGTTGTTGTGAAAGCCTTCGATTCGCGGCTGCCTTTGAGTTTGCGCGCGCGCGCGCGTCTCGTCCACCAGTGTGGTGTGGGCACGAATTTGTGTCATTTGAGAGTCAGTCAGCGTCACTTTGCTGACATGAGTGGATAAAAGCCAAGTTTGGAGGCGCCTGAGGTTGGTTGTCCTAGTGGTTGCATGAACGCATGCTCCGGCCGCTCTAGAGCCGCGATTGCATGATTCCTAGTGCGGCACAGTTTCCTGAGGTGAAATGCTTATACATGCTTGAGGCGCAGTAATCCAAATGGACGGAACCATTTCCTTCTCCACCAAAGAAAAACACTCAAAATACTTAATAGGACAAAACCAAATGTTAGGATTTCAGACACTCAGACGGCTGCCTCTGAAATCAGAGTCGACGTCCAATGCAGGCAGAACACCGCCACTTCTGGCTACGGGGTCTTGCCGTCACGATAACCCAACTTGATTAGACTTTTTTGCTTCTTCAGGTCCGCATGTATTGGCAAGGATGTGGTTTATGGACGATGTTACTTCGGGGAGCATTTGTGTTGAACAGAAGAGCTGACCATCTAAGAACTTTGCGGTATCGCAAATGTTTATCGACCGTATGGTCACCAGTTAAAGAGGAGACTATTTCTTGCTATTTGATGATAATAATAAATGAATTTAATATCCGTTTGCAGGCACTGTCAAAAAGGTATTGCAGTGTCATATTTTTACCCCGATGACTATGTTAGAGCTTCTTGACCACCTTCACGCAACAGCCACCGCGAGCCCTTTCTAGGTCTTTCTCTGGCACGTACATTTTGGCCCGGTACGTGGACGACATGTTCGTTATAATTGAAAGGAGCAAACCGACCGACTTTCAAGACCTGCTTAACGACATCTTCCCTGACATTCAGTTCACAAGGGAAAAAGAGCAAGGGAAGAAGAGCATTCCGAACAGCTGCCTTTCCTTGGCGTTCTCATCACACGTACACCCAACGTCGAACTCAGCACCACGGTATATAGAAAGACGACTAACACGTCTTAGGTTCTCAACTACCATAGTAACCACCCAATGGCGCATAAGCGCATCTGTGTTAGGTCACTCTTCCGAAGGGTAACAACGCACTGCAGTGAACCAGAGGGACGAGCACGAGAACTACGGCATCTTCGGGACCAACTGGCATGGAATGGATACCCGAACAGCTTCGTCAGCCGCTGCCTCCGCACGCATCCACGGCGAACAAACGGAGGAGAGCCGCCAACACTCTGGCACCCTCTACCATATATTAAATAACGTGTCAGAAGCGATGGAACGTATCGCTGGAGAGCTCGGCGTGGGCATCGCTCGCCGTCCGACAGCGACCATGCACAACAAAATCATGCCAGTGAAGGACCGATTAGACGTGGGAGAACAATCGGGTGTTGTTTATCAGATCCCATATCGCGACTGCCCTCGCCACTACACACGGCAGACCGGACGACGACTTAGCCTACGAAAACGGAGCCTAAACGGGCGGGCCGGAGAGGCGACCCCTTATCTCAGGTCGCCGGTCACACCCTGGAGGAAGGCCACGAATTCAAGTTCGCGAGCACGCGGATGGTAGCGCGGGCCGGCAATAAGACAGGGCGAGAACTGTTAAGGCCTGGGTGTGTGACACCAACTCTGTGAACAGACACGTTGACATACCCCCCTGCTATCACGCGCTCCGTTCCCGCGGCCAGACCTAATTTCCAGCCAAGGGTGCACGCAGTCACGCCGCCGTGAGACGGCGTGGGATCAGCTTATCGCGAATACCACCCTCTACACTCATATCCCCCCTTCATAGCTTGACTACAAAAACTGGTCATTCGGTGCCGCATTCTCACAGTCTGACGGTGGCCCTTCTGTACGAGACCAAAAGGTCAGACTAATACACCTTCTATCCCAGAGATCGTGTGTTCATCTTCTTTACAACAAGAACCTGGGATTCGCATATTCGCTTACATCCGAGAAATGTGTATTCCTGTCTCCCCAGCCGTTGTCGGTAATAGTTTGCAACGATAATAGCAAGTGCAGAAGGTAATAAGAAAGTTTGGGGGGGGGGGGGACATAACACTAACTGGCAAAAACGCAGTTTGTCAAGAACCGCTAATTCGTCCCCCTCGTCACATGAAGTTCGGACTGACTAGTAGAATTTCGTTATTTTCACCATAACTCGCAGTGACGTGTGTAGCCATACAGTTTACCAGCTCTAAACTTCATGGATACCTCCTCCAGCATGGCCTCCTGTACGAGACCGAAAGCTCAGACTAATACACCTACTATTTCAGAGATCATTTGTTCATCTTCTTTACAACAAATAAATATCCCCAGTTTTTTTCTTTTAGCAAAATTACTCCCCCCAGTAAGTAACCCTGGCCATAAACCATACTCTTGCCCATGCATTCATTCCTTCTTTCAAGTCCTCAAAGGTGGCCTGTCAACGAGCGGAATTCCTTTTTGGTGTCCCACTATGAGCGAAATAGTCGTTCAGGTCGTTTAAGTAAAAAATAGAGATAAGGACGACATTCTGAGAGATTAGTGGAAATCGCGAAAAAAGATGCATTTTACGTCCATTGGATTTCCCTCCATTTTTTAATAATAATAAGCACAACCCGTTAGGTCACTATAAGACAGAATAGTTGGTCAGCCTCTCTGTCATTCGGCCTTTTAAGCGCTGTCTCGTGTGGCAGCAAGGATCAATTATTGTGTCAGATTCCGATGGGCACATGTGCACCTTTTTTGAGCTCCCGGTCGCGGGAATCAGCGTTGGGAGTCCGCTCCCATGGTCGCCAGCGCAGCCCCCCACTTCCCACCCCCCAACGTCGATAAATTGCTATCGTCGTGCGTGCCTTACCGCCGGCGTGGTGAGAGCTCGGCAATAATCGACACTGCACCTTCCGCAGATTGGTTTCAGGCAGCCAAAGCCTGGGCGCACGCACGCGCTTCGAGCTGGAGCTAACGATCTGAAACGACTGGAGCCGACCGGCTGAACGACCTGCTGTCACCGCCGGCTGAGCCACGTGTGCGCTCTCCGGCCTCAGCAAAGCTTGTCTACTAACTCTCTCTGCCCTGACTTTTGGAGTGGGGACCCTCGAGTTTTCGACCTACCACACCCAGACATCAGGACTTGTGTTAGAGGAGAATGGACAATAGGTAACGGCCAACGTTATGGAAGTCGCGCGCCTGTAGGCCGCGCTTTGGGAAGGGAGCATTTTGATCTCACCCCATCAGACGCGCCTGGTCCAGCTGAAGACGCAAGATTCTGCGCACAAGACTCATGTCTGCAGGATTTAACTCTCGGCTCGCATCTTGCCTTGGCTGGCAATCCTTGCGGCGAGATGCAATCGCTTAACAATCGGAGGTTTAAAATTTACACATTTTGTTGGTGGTCCATCTTTTGTGCAGCCGAGTTGAGAGCTTTTGTCCAAGTTCCCCTAAGTAATTGCAGACATCTCACCTGCAACTGATTCTATGCATTAAGACCAAGTTCGGCAGGCCATAAATGCCAAAGATCTTGCCCATTCTAATATTCGGAAATGGGTGGAAAACAATAATCTTCCGAACAGTTTCTTTTTTTTAAAGATAATTTTTTTTTATTAAAGACCCGTCGGGGTCCCATCAAAGCTGGCTTATTTTATAACACTATCACGCATCTTGAAGTATAAACAGAATGATTAAGCTCCCGCATTTAGGAGCGTAAACTTAACTACTTTAGCGGGAAAGATTTCGCGCACTCTGTATAAGAGCAAATTAAGCAACTAAAAGAGTAACCGACCTTCTGATTTTCTCTACGAAGTCAAATGGTCAGCCGCCAAAGATGATGTCGACTTTACTGATTGTTTGTGTCTCGGGTGGGAACGTAGTCGTAGCAAAAAATTGCTAGTTTTTTTGAGGTCGGTAACAAGGTCAAAAACACTTTGATCATGTTATCCCTTCCCTTCTCTGGTAATCGACCCCCTACTCCTTCCTCTCCTTCTGAATTTCACATCCTGTTTTAATTTCGCATAGTTTCTGGAATGACGGGGATGCTAATGCTAAAATTCAGCAAGCCCCTTATTTCGGCAATCAGCATGCTAAAGACAGCTATTAATTTTAAAATCACATGATGTTACTCGCACCGATTCAAGACTTCCCTCCGGATTCCTTGGTAGTCGGTTATCAGGAAATATCCGCTCGATAATGTGAAGAAGACCTGGTCGCCGGAACAAGAATTTTAATTGCCCGACTTTTCGGACTCACACCTGAACCCATAATCTGAGACGGCATCAGATGAGGCTAACGGATGCACAGGGGTTGCATTATTTACAGGAAGCAGCTGTCATGCCACTATATACAGTGCGTGACCTATCTCATGAAATGTTGGCTTAAATTCTGAAATGCGCTTTCGATTAGGAAGGATTACTTGGTCGCGGTTGTGATACTGATTATCTTAAGGCATACAATTATAACATTTTGGACTCGGCAGGATGTCGGCTTTTAAATGCACTTCTTTTCAATCTCCTGTAGAAAGCATGCTCGGTGAAAAATGACTACTTAAGTAGCATGCATTTTTCCCATTGATTTTCGATGGTCTTGGAAATTCAAATATATTTTATAGAAACCACAAACAAAAATATGCTTTCTTTTAGTCAATCAATAGAGAATCACGTCTTCTTTATATTTTATACTTAAGGAAGGAGTATAATTAGGTTTTAAAAGTTTCTAATTATGAGACTTGTTAAGACCGCGAAGTGTCCATTCACATAGCATCGTACCTGGCCGTTTACCACTGCTCCTCATGAAATGTACAACATGGTCCGCATCCATTGCAAAATTTTATGGACCCTGTATGGTATCTATTTAATGACATGGAAAAATATGGGATTTTCTTTACGCGGAACGCATGCACCTTGTAGAGTATAATCACTAAGCGCTAATGCAACGAATGATCAGGCTCCAAGTTTTTCGGCAATCAGAAAACTTTTTTAAAACCTAATTATACTCCTTCCTTAAGTATAAAATATAAAGAAGACGTGATTCTCTATTGATTGACTAAAAGAAAGCATATTTTTGTTTGTGGTTTCTGTGAAATATATTTGAATTTCCAAGACCATCGAAAACCAATGGAAAAAAGGCATGCTACTTAAGTAGTCATTTTTTACTGAGCGCGTTTTCTACAGGAGATTGAGAAGAAGTGCATTGAAAAGCCGACATCCTGCCGAGTCCGAAATGTTATAAGAGTATGCCACAAGATAAGCAGTATTACAACCGCGACCAAGTAATCCTTCCTAATCGAAAGCGCATTTCAGAATTTCAGCCAACATTTCATGAGATCGGTCACGCACTGTATGTACCGAAATTAGCGGCTCAGGCAGTCATCGAAGATGGTCGGAAATGGGACGACAGTGGCTTGCTTGCCCTTAACCGAGCCATTAATTGTCGCATTTTTACGCTCATGTTGGTTATTGGTGCGATAATGACTAGGCTATTAGGCTAATCGACACTGGTGATGAGAGCAGAGCTCGCGGGCTCTGTCTGCAGCAAATTACTCGACATAGGCAGAAGTTGGAGTACCGTTGAGTTTTCAGTTGGCCCGCATGAGAACGTCCTCTTTGCACACCCTAGAAAGACCAAAGGATCGAGCCAGCACAATTTTTACTCTCGGCGATATTTCGTCTGACTTTTCCACCACCACTAACAACGTTGCAGTAATCCTCCTGTCAGAGATTTTAAGGAATTGATTGCACACGGACAAACAACTGGCCATTCTCCAGCAAGCTTTTGGCTTTCCGTAGGTAGGTGAATCCTCTAATGGCACGTGCGGAGCCTCACCCGACAATCTTAAAGCCGCACTTGGATCATTCTTCTGACACGATGAAATCCTGTCTGACTGGTCCACTCCGCATTTACCAGGGCTTTTATGAAACACCTTCGGGTAACACACCACCTGCGTAGGAACCGAATCTACGCAAACATAGAGACCTCTCGATGGCCAAAGTATTCCTATCGTCGGGTCGAATGGGGTGCGTAGTTCTGAAATGAATTGCTGACACACAAAAATACGAGTTTCAGGAGGCAGTTGAGAAGTCCGGCGCTGGAACATGCCTATTCGGCCAACATTTCGATTACGCACCCGAACTCATCAGCAAGGACAGCGGCGAATAAGGATAATGAATCTACCAGCTTGTGTCCCCAAAGTGATATCCAAAACCTCATGGAGGTTTGTGAACAAGATATTTCACGGCCTACCTTTTCTCCACGCCCATATTAGTTACTTCTCGATGGCCGGTAGTAACGTCGAAGAGCACAAGGACCACTTTGCAGTGGGTTTTGACCACCTTAAACAATTTGGCGTTATCTACAGCCCTCTAAGTATATCTCCGGCGCTTCCTCCCTCGAACCTCTCGAACACCTGATCGAACAGGCCGATATCTACCCTGCCTCCAAAGGTTGCGGTTATCAATCCCCGTCTCCAATGCCACGGTTCCTGCGCATGGTGAACTCCTACCGCCCGTAATTTCCACACTGTGCAGACAGCATTCTGTCGCCCAGGAATCTCTTCTACGGCTCCAGAGATCCTTTTTAGCTCTTTGGAGATGCCCTTACTGTCCCCCACCGGGCCAAGGTCGTCTTGTTGGACGCCTCTCTTAAAGCGCCCTGCTCTCGATGCATCTATCTCCCTCGTGGCCGGTGCTTCCATAACTGAAATCGATGCGATCCTTAAGCAACAGCTTGTTGCCTCTGGCTTCCTTTTCCCAAAAGATATCACCTTCCCAATTGCACCACAGCACATCTGCAAGAGAGTTTCTGGCTGGATACGTACCCATTATGCATTATTGACACTTCTTTGAGAGCAGAACCTTGGCCACTTTCACGGACCATAAGCCCCTTCTTTCGCCTCCCAAAACCACTCGGACTATTTTAACTCCCTACAGACCTGTTAAATGGAGTGTATCGCCCAGGTACCGTCTGACATCCGCCATATCGACGGGCCACAAAAAATGTGACTGGCATAATGCCCCGGTCCTCTATTGTTCAAACTCTTCCGGTATTTACTTCACTGGCATAACTGCCGATAAACGACGGACCGGATGCACCAGTGACGGGACAGTTAGTGGTACCGGACTTGTGGACGTTCTCCTGATTACCGACGCAAAAACAGTCTTTAGAGACGATTTAACCAAGGTTTACCCTTAGTATCTTATGAAACCAATCTGAATATCTTGGCCAAATCATAAATCTAAATAGTTGTCCAAGTATATGTTCCCCATACGGTTTTGACAGGCCCTACCTGACGAAGCTGCGTAGATAAAGACTCACCCTGGGTACTCGTTTGCTCTGCTGCTGTTTCCATGACAGTAATGAGATACTTCAAGTAAGTCAGGGCGGCGAGATGCATCACAACCCGACTCAGAGACTGGCCGATAAAACGGAATGTGCGTGTGCGTTGGGCCACTGCAAGCTTGAGGTGGCAGTCACTCAGCGAGACAAATTCATCAGTTGGCATTACGCCATGAGCTGCACCTGTGGCGGAGAAGGCAGAGTGACATTTTCATGGCCAAATGCGCCAAAATTGAGTCGGCGCACATGAGACAGGGAGAGTTCGCATGTGAGACAAAAGTTCGCCACAACATGCGCTGATGATAGGTTTCAAACATGAGTACAGGACGTCCGGCAAGTAAGTTATAATTTCGGCGACAGACTGTTCATCTACTCAGCCATTATTATAGCTAGATAACTTAGCAAGGTGTAGGGGCAAGTTTCTTTGCCTACGTTCAAAAAAGACTAACAACAACAGTTCTCCGATCTTCGTTCTGCCAAGTTCCTCCAATAATTCAATGGTCGGTCGTTCAATGCCTTACCCTAAAGTCTGTGAGACGGATGTAAAGCTAAAAATGCATCGGTCACAGAAGGCACTCACTTACTTTATAGCTTAGCGAACTCTGATGCGTTGATTACTAATGCGGTCATTTTGATGGCGAAAACATACGAGAGGCAAAATGCCCATGCCGGCGTTTATTATAGATAAGCCCAAATGCTCGTCGTGACTCGGACACTACACCACCTTCCAAGCCGGCATTTCAACTTTAACAGTGCAGTTAAAAGGAAAATAATATCGTTCCACTGAGATACTTGGCCAACCACCTGTATGGGACGTGCTTTATTATCCGGTGTGCCGGCCGAGAATGAACTTGGGGTAGGCGGAGCGCTGTGGTTTTCCAAGTTCCAGCCAACCTATGATTCCCTATCTCATCATAGTCCAGGGGCCTTTTAACTGGTTATTTGAACCATGAAGATCTTAGGCCTGACTCCTTACCAACGTTGACAGACTGATTTCAATCTGCGAGTGTTGGCTCTATACCGAGGTATGAGGCAAAATCTGGACCTAAAGAGCTGATTCGAAAGGTACTATGGCGGCGACAGAGAAACAGTTAAAGGGCAAAACGTAGGCAGTTGATGAGCTGAAGCATATATAGAAGGCAAGTAGAGGGGACCGAAGCAAACAGCCTTCCTTACGTGCATGAGGTATGAACTACCCGGTAAGTGCTTTTGATGTTAAGAGGGTGGATCTCCCGTTTCGCGACAGTTGTTTTTTTAGCAAATAGGTGTCCTTTTTACAGGTAGATACATAATGGACAACTATCGTCATAGATATTACCAGAACCCTGTTAATTTATTGATCTTTCCGTCGGAGCCGCATTTTGGGACAACCGGTGTATATGAATCCATTTAAGTCTATAAATACCTAGGTAACGAATGTTCTTCCCGTAAAAAGGGTCACGGAAGAAAACACTACCATTAAGTGTACAGAAAGCTTATAAAGGCAGGTGACAACTACGGTAGTTAAAAAAAACTCGTCACGTGAGCTAGGTGACGAAGGGTGGGAGTTTGGCTTGAAAACATATTAATGCTCTTGCAGGAGAAGGAACGTCATGCGGGTGCAGTCGATCTTGCATGAACGCATCGTTTTTAAATGGGACAATTGTAGTAAATTTGGGTGTCTTACGGCTGCCCTTATCGTTCACGACTTTATTTCCTGGACTGATGTTCGAGAAATAGCCTTTCAGAACTGTTACGAATAGCAGGACCTCTAAACTGGTTAAATTCAAAGCATCCAGAACTAAACCGGCAGATAAAAAATGTCAAAATAATTGCAATGAATAAGACAACGGGCGATCTGAAAACAATGGAGCCGCATTTCCGCATCCAGTGACCAGTTATATTATGACACTACCAGTTCCGGGGGACATGATCAAATGTGCTATACGTGCTAGATATTGTCAGGGCGCGCCAGAGTAAAACGATGGATCATAGTAATTGAACAAAATGGAAGTGAAAGACAGGACGCTTGGTTGGTGATAACATTCTGGTTAACAGAAGAAAACCGGGGCATTTGTGGACATTCAAGAGAATAAATGGTACGCAGGGTCCCACGACTTCAAGAATACCAACTAAGACCTAATCTGAAGTAATGACTTGAAAAACACTCCTATTTCCGCCGGACAACTGTGTAAGTGGGTGAGTGTTACGTACTTAAAACATAAACTCGATGTAAGCGGAATCTGTAACTGACCATTGGAACTCGTAAAATTACCAGTCTCCAAAAGAAACAGAGGCGTGACCACAAATCGGAACCAGATACTGGAGTGTTTCTGGCACGTAAAGCCCCCGATTCCTGTAGACGGTTGTAGAAGTCAGGTATTAAGAGAAGATTCAACCTAAGTACAAGTATTTTCAAAAGAACGCATAAAAACTGAAGAATACAAGTAGGAAAGGACAGTAACAGCAGTCAGCACGGGCAGGAAAAACGGGAGACGGACTAGCTCAATTTCGCCGCCTAGCGCTTAACGAATTGACAATATCCACGAAAATTTCATCCATTTTCTTTGTTCCATCAACTGGTATATGAAGATTCAGATTCTGGTAAAAACTAACAAGGGGAGCCGTCATTTTGTGGTAGGCTGCCAGCCTCTTTTCCAAAGCTTCCTTCGTATCATCTGTGCGACGCACAAGTCTTTCGCCAGTAATCTAAAAGACAGCAAAATACCACTAGGAGGCTCTATTTGGGATGAGAAATCAGCAAGTTACGGCAAACGGGGAGTTTAAAAGTGTAAACAAAAATGCCACAAGCCAAAATCGCCGCGAAGTGAAACAAATTACGTATGAAAAGATAAATGATCGCAATCGGTCAAACGTACGTCATCCGTCATTGGAACTTTCGGAGGATTGAAGACTTCGTGGTAAGAACGGCCACTAGCCAGATGAAACAGACGCCCACATATACGTTTTTCGAGAATTGCGTCGGGCACTGTCAGCTCGATGACACCATTCAAAGACTCCTTTCGTTTTTTTAAGAGGTCTTGTAGCTAAAAAATATTTTTCAAACGGAACATTTGTACTTTCTCAGCCTGCGATGTGGTTCGCGGAAAACCATCGAGGACGAAACCTTTTTTACACTCCGGATTATCAAGATTCAAGTCAATCAGTTCGCAAACTATATCGTCAGACACGAGCTGGCCCGCGTCTATTATTTTCTTGACTTTGTTTCCTAGTTCAGAGCCTGAGCTTGTGATTGCTCGTAGCATATCGCCCGTGGACAAGTGGCAGATTTCATATTTTTTTACAAGCTTGGGAGCCTAATAGCGATAAAGATTGATTCATGGGTTAACCTGTGTTCCTTTTCCGCAGCCAGGAGGTCCGAGAAGAATTAAATTGGTTTTACAATCCTTTTCGTCACCAGCGCTAAACCACTTTCTCCAGAACATTTGCGACAGCACCCAGTACCAGACAGCGACTACACAACCGGCAATACCGAAAGTAGAAGGACACCCAGGGGATTAAAACAAGTTATAACCAGTTCGATCTTTTTAAACATTTTTTGATTAATAGACATCTAATTACAAGGATTTCACAGCCTGGATGAGGGCCGTACTCCGGAAGGGTAAAAACCTACGCTAGCTTATTAGCTGATCGCGAAATTCCGTTTCCAATATCTGGATGTCATCGATAAATTCCATTTGGAGTAACCTTCTGACCAACACAGGCTACTATCCTCCAAAGCAATAATAATCTGTTCGCGTACTGAGATAATTGTTTATAAACTACTTAGCACAGCATGTGGTCCGAGGTGGCCAAACAACCACAACAATTCCGCTTTTTTGTTAATTAATTAAATATCTGCAGTCCAAAATCTCAAGCCGAACATTAAATTACCTGTATTTTAATAATTTAGAGCGTGTATGCATGGCATACTTTGACTCCCATAACGCCGACAGATACGCTTCCCACCTGGTCACCTCGTTGCCCCCAAACTCGGTTAGATCAAATATTTCATGATCAGAGTCAACTCGCGGTGTGAACGTTATATGCCAACGAAATGTTTATGTTAAAGAAGTGGCATCGGTCGTTTACACAAACTACTGTCCTCTTATTTAGGAAGACGATCTGCTCGAACCTTGCTTGGGGGTCGCGGTCCATTGTGATCATCCATTAACTGGCTTCCGGTTATATTTCCCTGTTGCCATTTTCTGCATTACGAATTATATTGTGCAAGCACAAAATTGCACGATATATTGGTCCGGGACGTCTATGCATCTAATTTGTTCGAGTACTGTAGGACGTAAAATCCCTAATTCTTTCGACTGCTGTTACGAATAATTAATGTCGTGGCGGAATCCTGTGTGAATATCAACGTTATCACCTACAACTGTGTTAGATATTGCATGTACTGTTTTCAATGGGATTTTCAAATTCATCGCCTATTACCCTTAAAATATACTGAGCTACAGACTCATTTGAATTTCCTCATTGTAAGGCGAAAGTTGTCCTTGGTCGTAACTCATGTAAACACCAACAATTAGCCTTTTACTCCAAGTCTATTGCTTATATAACAAAAGATTCTGATAAACGGGGATATTTTGAAAAATTATTCCTCCCACACGCTGTTTGAACTTGATATTGATTGAATTTGATTCACTCACGGCCAAATTATTTTCTTTACAGTTCAGTTTACTGGATGTTTTCGTAATATACTGACATCAAAACTAAATCTGATTTAGCCATATGGTCATCCGCACGACAGGATATTCAAGGTAATGGTCGACTACCATCCTACCGCTTCTATATCAGCAGCTCAGTCAGAACTTCGAAGTGGGAGTCCACTCCCGCGACCTTTATCACGACCGCTTATTCATGCTGCCCTTCCATCCATCTCACGCGCCTGTCGGGTCAGTGCTGCGGCCGCACTAGATATAATGCTAGCTTGAAGAGGGCTTGATGCTATTCAGCGAGGTTTCCTTTATTGACTGGTTGAAGACGAACACGAGCCTGAACTTTATGCCGGAAGATAGCCAGACCCCAACTACAAGCATCTGCCTAATGAGAACGCTAACTTCAAGTGTTCCCTGAGCCGTTTTCGCGCTATTTCGTCTCAATAAATCTTGTTCAACCTACCTTGATTCATCTGACTCCTAACTTAGGAAACTTCTCGTTGTTGATCCAACACATCTGTTTAGCTCATACCCTGGCCGTAGTTAACTAAATCCTCCGGTGTCCTGCAAAACTTTTCGAAATTATTTCAATCAGTACTCAGGGAGTCTTTAAAAGGTCAGCCGCCGACCGGACCCAAACCTGCGCACCAAGGAATCGAGATGGGGGGAAGCGACCGCACATCGCCATTGAAAGCAACAGGTTTAAAATGCAATGAGCAAGGGTCAGTCGTTTACACAATGTCTGAGTGAAAGATGGAAACTTAAACAGCTTCGCTTTGTGCTAAGGAAGGGGACGAAATCAATATGGCATGTTTAAGACGTACTAAGAAATTGTGGGAAATGTTAAAGGAAGTAGCCAGTCCAAACACACAGATAAGAATCTGAAAAAAACTTCCTCTCCTCGAACCCGTGGAGCGAGCGTCCGAGAAAACTGAACGTTCAAACGAAAGAAATAACCTACGTGTGCATGCCCTACTACCCTGACTAACACAAAAGGAAAGAAAACGCAGACATGGGGTTCAACGCAAACGAGGATATTCGTCGCGTGCGCATAAAAGCTAAGGCCAGTTAATGTGTCAAAAAATTTACCACCAAATTCTGGAAATATCATAAAATTCTAGGCTACAAAAATCGGTATATAATATATATAATAAATAGGAGAGAATAGAAAAGGCTTATTATAGCACCTCTTAGGCACTGTCATTCTCCATTGAACACAGGAAAAATACCTAAAACAAAGTCATCCATTTCGGCTGCACTGTAGAAACGCAGAACCAATACTGGACGAGGCTACGGAAGCCGATGCCTGTTTGGAAAACGGGAACCTTCAGTTTTCCCCGAAGCGTGCCCGGTTGGCTTTTCCGAACTGTCTGCTCGTGTGTTATTTTTTCCGCCTAAACACCTCAGTGTCTCGATACTTCTCCATTTTCTGTCGTCAAGTAAACGCTTCTCGATAAGAGACCTTATTTGGTGCGGTGCCCTGTCCGCTTTTTCGCTACAAAATTAAGGACGACCGTTTCGACATGACTCGTCAGCATCCATCTTCGGGGCCGGCCGGATTGATCGCCAGCATAGGCGTAATGGATTTTGTCAGGTCCTTACGTCTGTTCTGGAGACACGACAGTCGACTCCGGCAAGCCTTCATTGTCAAGGTCGGGCGACAAATTAGACATCTAGCACTCTCAAGTCCGCGTTCACTTGGCCACAGTCACCGCCAAGAACCCCGCGCGATACGTCGCTCGCCATTTTCCACGGAGGCTCTGACCAAGGCTTCCGGTATTGGGGTGAAGTTTGATTCCGATGTCAAGTCACTGTTTGCATCCCTTTGCGCGTTGTACGACTCTCAGGTCCCCTGTGAACGCTTACAGGCAATTATCGTCTCGTCTGCAACTCCCTGGTGAAAGAGCTAGTGATTACCTTGGAAGTCTTCGTCCCCTTATTCTGGCGGGTTTCACCAACTAACCTTCTGTTGTAACTCACGTCGTTCTGGCCGCACATTTCCGGGCGGGGTTGTTAAATGATAATCTTCGTCCGAAGTTACTGAAGAAGTCCAGTCTTTCGTTGGGTTCCCTTCTGACCCTTGCGCAGGAGTACGAGAAGCGCTATAGGTCGTCGGTCTCCACTCAGCTTCGGTCCTCCGGCAACGGAGGACTCGATCGGTGGCGACGCAGGCGTACCGAAATTTCATTCGTCCGCTCCGAGGCCGTCAGGCTCGAGTTGCTGAAGTTTCGAATCAGTCCTATCCAGTCTCTACTGTAACACCAAGTTCTGGCTTTCCTGCACCTATTCTTGACGTAAAAGTTGGCTGCAGGCGATTATCGTTTCTTGCTGACACAGGCGCCGCCTGCTCCTTGTAAAACCCTAAATGGTCCTCGCCCGCCTGGCTTCAGCAAACCCAGATCTCACACAAAAAGCCCGTATCGTGGCCGTCAATGAGATGTCCCTCTTCTTTCCATACCTGGTTGACGTAGTTTTTTGCATGGGTTCATCGGAATTTCGCCATCCTTTTAACGTCTGCCCTGATATTCAGGGGGACGGTATCTTGGGGAATGGATTTCTTCATGCTTATAGTTTCTGCATCAATTTTACCTCCGGTCATCTCATGTCTAAGACGACCACCGTTCCCTTTTATTTTCTCCATAGCTCTCATCAGCAGCTAGTCTGTGATTCAGTCGGTTACAACCTTCCCCAACCTTATGGCCTCAAACGCTTAGTCTCCCCACTCTCCCGACTTCTCTCGTGAACAGAAGACTGCCGTCCACAATCTTATCTGTCAGAACTCCGCTGCTTTCACACGAAAGGGCGAATCTTTAGGCAGAGAGAACGAGTTGCAGCGTACCATCGACACGGTTTCGTCTCCCACCCCAATTCGTCAACCACCTCGGCGAGTGCCCGTCCTCTTCCAGGAACAGTTGGAGCAGGCAATGAAGGACATGCTGGACAAGCACTTTATTCGCCCGTCTTCCGCACTTTGGGCCTTTTCGGTCGTTCTCGCCAAAAAGAAAGATGGGTCTTTACGATTATTTGTTGACTACTGGAAATTAGATTCCGTGACAGTCGAATACTCATTCCCACTAACTCGCATAGACAGTACCTTAGAGATGCTGGCAGGTGCTGCCTGTTTCTCTAGGCTTGTTCTACAGTCCGGCTGATGGCAGGTAGAAATGGCCCCCAAGGACAGAAATGAGACTGCATTTTCCATTTCCTCTGGGCTATACGATTTTGAGACCATGCCCTATGGGTTGGCAAACGCGCCTATGACCTTCCGAAGTCTACTGGTCTCCGCTTTACGGGACTTATGTCCTACCGCATGTCTGGTGGACCTGGAAGATGTACTCGCACATGGGTCCTCGGTCGAGTCACACTTTAGTAATCTCCAAACAATTTTCACCCGTCTCCGGGCCGTGAACCTTAAACTGAACCCGGCCAAATGCTGTTTTCTTAAGACGTCTGCCCCATTCTGGGGTCACATTGTCTCGACTGATGGGATTACGACAGATCCGACGAGGATTGAGCAGATTCGTCCTTGGCCGCAACCTACGTCCCTTTCCGAGCTCCGCGGGTTTCTAGGGTTGGCCTCCCATTATCGCAGCTACATCAAAGATTTTGCAAACATAGCCGCCTCTCCCAATGGTCCTACTAGCAAACAGACCACTTTTTATTGGTCCGACGAGTGCGAGAGACCCTGCGAAGAACTGAAAAAGCGTTTAACATCCCCTCCTTGGTTGGCATTCCCCGACACTGTCGAGTCGACTCTGCCTTTCATATTGGAAAAT